TGTAATAAGCATGTGTCCTATTCTGTGTACTAAACTCCTGAAACATTGGTGTCTTTTTGAAACATTGGCGTCTCTTTGTATATATGATATGAGATAGTTTTCTCAAAATAAGTAAAATGCTCATGAAGTGACTCAGAGCAATTCTAGAGATTATGTTTTTTGTGTTCATGTACTCATATATATATATATATTGAGGCAGCAGAGACTGAAAACACCGCGAGCTTCAGTAGGCCTATGTGTAGTAAATGAAACCGCATGTCTGTGCCATTAATTTTCACGAGGGGCGGACTGGGAAAAAAATTTCAGGCCGGGAAATCTCACACTCATACACCCATAACAAATTCTGAAACATGGACAACCCTATTTTTTGTATGGACCTCACTAGGGCTGCACAATTAATCGCATGCGATATTTAACACGCATCTTATCAGTAAAGCCGGTTCTGTAATCAGCGGTAAATCTCCATCACCGCGGGCTTTCACATTGAGTGTGTGTGTGTGTGTGTGTTTCCCCATGAGACGGACCAGTGATTCACAGCCCTACCTGAATGCAAATACACTCTCAATAGGCTTTGAGGGAGATCCGATCAGCCGCACATGTTAACAGGGTTGTGTTTCTAATCACGTATGTGACGTTTGATGTGAGTGACAGAAGTGAGAGTGGTTCTCCCTGACCACCGCACTGAAACACAGACGGTAAATACAGCGGTAAATACAGCAGACAAGATCCAGCCGGTTCCTCAAAATCTTCCTCGCTGCACCTACATCCTACATAAGCAATCTCATTAGGCAATGATTTGGGACACTCTACACTTGCACAAACTTACAATTGATTTAAATAGATTGGTGTTAGAAAATTAGATTGAGTTTATATTGGGTAAAAAAAAAAAGAAACCTTTTTATTGATACTTTTCAGTAGTGTGTGAACTTAAAGATTACTTATAATCAGCATCCTAGAAATCAGAGATGAGAGAATCTTTTCTTTCATTACTTATAACACACACACACACACACACACTCTCTATCTCAGTGGAGACTTTGCACGGACTTCTAGAGTTGATGACGAATCCCATAACGCAACCCCTCAGAAACCTTTTTGCATATTTTTAATTAATTAAAACATGATTTAATATATTTATTAATCCAGCTCCCTGTAGTTTTCTACCAAAATAAAAGCTTGATGCTTTAATGTTTGAAAATGAGGAATTAAGACAATACTAAAGCCACAAATATTAGTATTGTACTTTTACAGTTATACTTTTATCATATGATGCCATCACATTATTTTTCTTAAATAGAATTGTTTTATTTTACAGTGAAATATTATATTAGTAGTAATTCTTAGTTTGTTTAATATTTTATTTAGTAATAATAATAGTAATAATTATTATTATTACAATTTGGTCAAAATGTGTGATTATCAATTTGACAATCTTAACAATAATAATAATAATAATACATATACTTATTACAATCAAAAGTTGAGAATATATATATATATCAGTATGACAATATTATTATACAATATGATTATTATTATAATTTTTTTAATTATTATTATTATTTTTTGTGCCAAATTGTGCAGCAAACCTGGAGCTCTTAAAAAATTTTTTTTTTATCATAAAAATAGCTATTTGCTTTTTTTCCCTCAAATTGTGCAGCCGTAATTTATGAGGTCAAACGCAGTAAAACGCAGAAAGTTGATAAACATGTCATTAGATCTTTGCGGTGTGTGTGTGTCTCACTGGGATCGTTGCGTAGCTGCTCCTCTGCTCTCTCGATGGTGATCAGTAAACTCTCAGTGGCATCCGCACGTTTCCCAACTATAGTGAAGCCGTTCCACACATACATCATTTCCTGTGTGAGGAAGAACCACAGATGCATCACTTCCTCCTCTCTTCATTTACACGTGTTTTTGGTGTGTGTGTGTGATAGTGAGAGTGTGTGCGTGTGTGTCTGTGTGAGAGTGTGTGTGTGCGTGTGTGTGTGTCTGTGTGGGTGTGTGTGTGTGTGTGTGA